TAATTAATAATCTAATATATTATTTAGATATATTATTTATAAAAATTTTATAATAATTCCTAAAAAATAAATGAACTTAATAATAAATTAAATAAATAAATAAATAAATAAATAAATAAATAAATAATATATTATTTATATGTACATTATTTATAATAATATTATAATAATTCCTAATAAATAAATAAATTTAATAATAAATTAAATAATTAGATAAATAAATTAATATATTATTTTTATATATATTATTTAATAATAATCTTATAATAATTCCTAAAAAATAAATAAATTTAATAATAAATTCAATAATAAATTCAATAAATAAATAAATAAATAAATAAATAAATAGATAAGTAAATAAATAAATAAATAAATGATTTATATATATTATTTATAATAATATTATAATAATTCCTCCACCACTCCACAGCCTTTTCCTGCTGCTCGTTTGGCCGTGAAAAGTTGCAGAATTAAAAAGTTTCACCACCCTAAACCCTGATATTTAATCCTCCTCTCCAAGCTGGATTCGCACCTCGAGGCTCCTGTGCAGAATTCACCGTGCTCTGCTCCCATCATTGGTTTTTTTGTTGCAGAAGGTTCTGGATGTTATCAGAAAAACACCTGCTCTAATTTTAGCATGCAAAAAATTCTAATTACGGCATGAATTTTTTATTTCTTAATTCTTTACCGGTCTTTATTCACCCTCTGGGTACCGAAACATAATTAATTCCGCTTTACTTTTTTTTTTTTTTTTTATAGATTTTTTTTTTTTTTTTTTTTTTTTTTTTTTTTTTTTTTTTTTTTTTTTTTTTTTTTTTTTTTTTTTTTAATATATTTTTGTGTATTATCATATATATTAAATTTTCAGTTTTGTAATTTTTTTTTTTTTTCGTTTTTATTGCTTCCCGCACTGACAATGTTCACTTCATTAAAAACTTGTAATCCCTGGGCTGTGATCAAGACATAATTGCACTTTTTGGAGGTATTATCATCACACACATTTTTTTTTTTAATTTTTTTACTGAAACCCCTGTTATGCCTCTATGATTTTTGAGAAACCCCTCAACCTGCAAGGCCATTTTGGGCTGGAATTATAAAAATATTTTTATTTTTTTTTATATAAATATCTCCTCCTTTTTTCCCCTCTCCATTCCCTTCCAAAATTCACAGAATCATCTCATATTAATTAATTGTTTAACAGATTTAATTGTTATTAAAATAGATTTAATTGTTGCCACCAGAGTGCAGCTGGAATTTATTCTATAGGAATTTTGTGTCTATAATTAAGAAATCCTACAGTAATCCTACAGAACTGTTAATCCTAATATTAAGAATTAATTGTAGAATGGAAGAAATGTGGAAAATGAGTGTCCAGGTAAATTCGTTCCAGGTTTCTGATGTAGAAAAGCAACTTTATCATTATTTTTATTCCAGTGGAGGTGATTCCTGCAGGCCCAGCCAAACATTCCCAGCCTTTTCCTTCTGAAAAGGAAGAATTGTCTAAAATTAAATCGAATTAAATTCCATCTGAAATGAATTATAATTGTTCAYATTTTGGCAGGTGGGGTAGGGGGTTCTACACCAGCACATCCTTAATGGTGGAAGAGACATCCAGAAGTTTCCAGAATGTTGAATATTCCCTCCTTTCTTCCCTTTCTTTCCATTTGGATGAGATCCGACTCTGCTGAGCCTTTAAACAACCCCAGGATGTGTCTGGAGAGAATAAATGAGAAGGGAAAGGAGCTGTGGTGGGTGCAGGGCAGTGATCCCAAGCAGAAACTCCGTTTCTGTTCCATTTTCCATCCTTGACCTCTCAAACCCCATCCCAGTGGTGCCCGAAATGCCGTCCTTGACCTCTCAAACCCATCCCAGCAGTGCCCGAAATTCCAAACTGGACCTGTCAAACCCAATCCCAGCGGTGCCCAAAATGCCATCCTTGACCTCTCAAAACCCGAAATGCCATCCTTGACCTCTCAAAACCCAAAATGCCATCCTTGACCTCTCAAACCCGAAATGCCATCCTTGACCTCTCAAACCCCATCCCAGCAGTGCCCAAAATGCCATCCTTGACCTCTCAAAACCCGAAATGCCATCCTTGACCTCTCAAAACCCAAAATGCCATCCTTGACCTTTCAAACCCGAAATGCCATCCTGGACCTCTCAAAACCCGAAATGCCATCCTGGACCTCTCAAAACCCGAAATGCCATCCTTGACCTCTCAAAACCCAATCCCAGCGGTGCCCAAAATGCCATCCTTGACCTCTCAAACCTGAAATGCCATCCTTGACCTCTCAAACCCATCCCAGCG